TGTATGCCAAAACCTCCTGAAGGGTCACAGTTGCCTACCTGGGAACACATCATATTTCAAAGTCCTTAATGTAATTCCTGAGGAATGAATGAAAACAAGTCAAGCTGCTGAAGAGAGAGCCAGTGTGGTGTAGTGGTCTGAGCGTTGGAGTGCAACTCTGGACACACTCAAACTTTTAAAAAAGGTATCGTGAAATACGTGAATTTGACCTGTGTGACATTTCTTATTTAATGTTTCTTTTAAAAAGATTTTAAACATCATCTGAACCAATGTGAAGTCGAAGGCTTTCACGGCTGGCATCTATAGTTTTTTTGTGGATTTTTCGGGCTATTCAGAGAAGATGCCAGCCACAGATGCTGGCGAAACTTCAGGAATTAACTCTTCCAGAACACGGCCACATAGCCTCAAAACCCCACCAAAAAACCTATCATCTGAACCCCTCCCAATAAACAAACACAGATGTGAAATTGGCAGTGTGCTCGTTGGATTTGGTCTCAAATGTCCTACAATGAAAGTTGGCCAAGTGGTCAACTGGGTGACCTTGGGCAAGTCACACTCTCTCAGCCTCAGAGGATGGTAATGGCAAGCCCCCTTGAAGAAACCTGGCACGAAAACCCCAGGATAGACTCTTCTTATGGCCTGAAATGACTGGAGGGCACACAAGAACAACAACTGTGCCACTGCTGTGAACAGTGAACATCTACTGACTCAAGCTTCCCTAAAGAAGCCCTAGTATGTAGCCACACTACAGAGATAAAGCCGTTTGACACCACTTTAACGACAGTTGCCCCTCCGTTTTTGCAGGGGATCTGTTCCGGACCCCTCTACGAAAACAGAAACCCGCGCCTGTTCAAGCCCGTATGCTTGAATGGAGGCACAGGGGCATGCAGGCGGGTACCACTGGGGCGCATCCCATTGTATGTCCCTCCATTTGTCCCTTGCACATAAGCAAAGGATGCGGATCCAAAGTCCGCGAAAATGGAGGAGCGACTGTACCATGATGCTATCCTGTGGAATAGTGGGATTTGTAGTTTGGTGAAGTATTTATCCTGGTGTGTCAAGAGAACTTTGGTGCCTCACCAAACTACAAAGCTCATTATAGTTAAAGTGGTGTCAAAGGGCTTTCTTTCTGCAATGTGGCTACAGTCAATAATAATAATAATAATAATAATAATAATAATAATAATAATAATAATAATAATAATAATAATAATATTTATTTGTATCCCACTTCTCTGTATAACACAACCGGCTTACATGATAAAACATACAATCAGAATGGAGTCAAGAATAGATTTGAAGTCTCACCTTCTGAAGAAGTTAACTGTCAGTTTAAACCTTTTCAGGTGAGTTTTCGCTATGCTTTTAACTTTTGCTTATTTTAATGTAATTTTATATTGGGTGTAGATTTTAAATTGTTTTGAATTTTATTGAGATTTTAAAATGTTTTTATCTGTGAGCTGCCTTGGGTCCCTACGGGGAGAAAGGCAGCATACAAATGAAATAAATAAACAAACTTTACAAACTCTACAGGTAAGGTCAAGTTTACCCTGTTTTATTTTATTTTATTTTATTTGTTGTTGTGTGCTTTATTTTTCTTTTCTTTTTTAAATTCATGTTAAAACAATTATGGTGGCTTGTTCATGAATATTAATATATTTTTTCACATTTTTTATTGCATTATATACTTTTACATTGCTTAGAAGAATTTTCTATCTGTACATTTTCTTAAGTTTTAACTCATATTCTTGCAAATTTTGTATCTTCTATGGTTGTCGTGTGCTTTCAAGTCATTTCCGACTCACCACAACCCTAAGACAAACTCATCATGGGGTTTTCTTGGCAGTAGTCGTCCCTCCACATTTGCAGCTTTGACTTTTGAAGATTTGATTATTCACGGATTTTATTAATATGTTCTCTCTAGGAATATCTAGGTCCTCCAGTGGAACTCTATGGTCAACTTTAACCAAACGTTGCACTGAAGGACCTAGAGATTCCTAGAGAGAACACTCCACTGGGCATTTGTAGCTCCTCCAGCGCAATTCTGTGGCCAATGTCAGATGTTGACCACAGAGTTGCACTGGAGGACCTAGAGATTCCTAGAGAGGTGTTCTCTCAGGTAAAAACATAGTGTTTTTGTTATTTGAGGTTTTTCCACATTCACGGGGGTCCTGTGCCCCCAACCCCAGCAAATGTGGAGGGATGAGTGTATTTGTTTTGCCTTTCCCTGAGGCTGAGAAAGTGTGACTGGCCCAAGGTCAATCAGTGGGTTTCATGGCTGAGTGGGGAATCGAACCCTGGTCTCCAGAA